TGTGCTACTGCACACCAGCTTGGTGACAGAGTAAGACTCCGTCTGTCAATAAGTAAATAAATGAATAAATAAATAGCTGAAGAGAAGAATATTCCAGAGAGAGGAATGAGACATGCCGGGACAGGAAGAGCTTGCTATGTTCTGGAAATAAAGACATTTCTAGAGCACAAGAGGTGAGGCGGGAAGAAAGGCCTGTGATGAGATGGAGAGGAGAACCTTGTTGGCCCTGGCACGAGTCTGGGCTCTCTTCTAAGTGAAATATAAGCCACTGAAATGCTTCAGGTGGAGGGGGACCTGTCCAGATTTGCATTCTAAAAACTTATTCTGCTGTGTCATCCAAGAAACACACCGAGGGTAGGATCAAAGATCTTGGATATGGATGGAAAGAGGGAGGAAAAGGGTGGGAGGAAGTGTGATTCTTAGCTAAGTTTCTGGCTTGAGTGACAGAGTAGAAAATACTGCAATTTCTAATATGGATATGACCTATATGGATAGGCACAAGTTTTGGGGTGGAGATGAGATAACATGTTAAATATCCTTTTCATGCCTGGCAATAGAACACACAATGTGGGAATTATTACCACCATCCGAACATTCTGTGTTCCATAAAAATGACTTCTAGAAAATGAGTGGAAATAGTAACTTCTGAGTCCTTAAGTACAGTATGCAAGCATGAAATAGAACAGAATTCTGAAAGTGGATGGTGATAGGTTGTCTCTGAAGTAATTACAGAAAACTTCACTAAAAATAATGATGCAGGCCAGGCACAGTGGCTCACACCTGTAACCCTAGTACTTTGGAGGCTGAGGGGCTTTAAAAGAGCAGGTTTGTGAACACACATTGTAAACTATGAATATAGTATAATAACAATAACAGTCCATAGCTTGAAAAAGCTATGTACTACATAAATTGTAGCCTGTACTRCAATTTTTTAGTTGTTCATGCTAGTTCTTCTTAACTTCACCTCACCTGRTGATACTATGTACACAAATTCTTCATCACAAAGCCCAGAGCCTTATGTTTAATGTTACTTTAGGGGCCAAACCATATCAAATATCAGTCTCAGGGCTAAAAAATTCTGTTGCAGCAAGGTTGACTTAATTAAACTTCTGAAAAGTGAATTGCATTTTCCCACTGATGTCCTTATTAATATCAGAATCATGTCTCCCAGAAAATATTTCAGTGGATTAGGTTGCAAACTCATTTTCCTATTTAAAGAATTACAGAAGTTGCCTAAATTTCTTTGAAGGGTCTCTGTCAACCAAAATAGTAGATGGTTCTGATTCTATTTTAGGATTCATTCCAGGAGTTGCCCTTTCTCAAACTGGGATGCCAGTGGGTGTATCCTGCTCAGATTTTCATGGGGTCTTAAGAATGTGTCTCCCTTCTTGACGTAGATCTGGTAAAGCTCAGTTTACTCAAAATTTGTTTCTTTTTTTATCTGTGTGGCCAAAAAGGACAGAAATAGAATTTGGACTGATGTTACTGAAGGAACAATTCAATAGAAAAAACTTTCTAACAACCAGAACTGTTTAATAAAGAAGTAGTCAGTAATGAAGAAACTGAGTTACTATGGCAGCAGCGATCCTCCTACCTCAGCCTCCTGCATAACTGGGACTATAAGCATGTGCCACCATACTCAGCTATTATTCTATTTATTTTTTGTAGAGACAGGGTCTCGCTATATTGCCCAGGCTGGTCTCAAACTCTGGGCCTCAAGTGATCCTCCTGGCTTGGCCTCTAAAAGTGCTGGGATAACAGGCATGAACCATCACAACTGGCCTGGAGATAATTTTTTTAACATAAAATTGTCTTCCACTTTTCAGAGGTCAGGAAATCTAAATGAGGGAAGAAAAATGAAAACTTTGGCTAAAATCATTACAGTGGTTAAGATAAGTTATATAAACTTGTTATACTCTAAGTACAGTTTTCATTTTAGCTTCAAAATTGATACTTTTGAATCATGAG